AACAAAATGGTGGTCGTCGACCGGGCGATGTATGCGTCAAGGAAGATAGCTAGGACGGACCGAAGCAAGAGTATAATAAACAACAAGAAAGCATTAGGTTGATTACCAGTAGCAAACAATCAATCCATAGGAAGTCCATCAGGAAATGTTGGCCAATTGTAAGGTGGAATCGTGGTCGTTAAGAATAGTCAAAGGGAGAACTTTATAAGTCAAGGACTCAAGGTACATTAAGAAGAGAATATGAGAACCTTGATGACTACATCGAGAATAAGGGACATCATCTAGAACTAACGAGGAACATCAGGAAGATGAGTCACGAGTAAGGAAGTAAGATGGATATGAGTTTAGGGTACCTGCTGGAATACCCCAAAGTGAAACCAAGATCGCCTATCCTGGTGAAAGGTGGAAATCTCTCATGAGAAAATTTCTTGGGCGGGGAGACTGTACGAGGAATTTCATATAGGGTCTAAGAGTGGCAAAATGAATAATACGAGAACTTCAAATTCAAGCGACGATAAGGAAGTGCTAAGTTCGGCATCAGGAGTGAACAGGAAAGCCAATAAGAATGTCATGATTCTTGAAAGGAGTCATAAAGTTGACCGCACTCTAGGGGAAGACGTAAAGTATGCCTCTAGTGCATACAGAAAGTAAAAGCAGTAGTATGAGACTTCAACGCTAAGCAACGACTAACGTGGAGATGGCCATTCAATCTTTGGTTAAAGGATAAGACAAGGCATCAAGGAAAAAGTAAGAGATGCAAAGTTAGGAGATACAAGGACCTAAGTGGCCTATGAGGTCAACTCCGGATGAGAGTAACGGTAAAAGAGTTTTACCATATGACGGGATAGAGGATAAGCTGCCATATGTAACCTTGGGGTTCAAGAGAAGCATTAACATCTCATATACCGGATAATGGAGATAGTTATTGTTTCAATATATGTCCATGATGTAGCATAGGTGACGTGAGGGGTTAAGAAACCACCAAAACATTCGAGGTTGCCAATGAATGGAGGGAATGATTTATAGGTCATGTCTTACAAGTTAAAGGAAATCCAAATCCTCAAAGTAAAAAGGATTACCACAAGCGAGGCTTGGAGTAATCACATTGGACATATTTTGTGGGCGAAATTTCTATAAGTGGGGAGGTTGTTGCCTTCTCCCTGATGAGCCCAAGGCAGGGCGAAACCAGTTGGCATGCGTATGCAGAAAGGCTGGTCTTGAGGAATGAGTGCACCCCAAGACACCGCACGGACTTCAGAAGTCCATAAGTGGGGAGGAAAATGTGATATCTCGACTCCGATTTAAAGTCCGACAATGAGTACCGAATGAGTTGGACCAGTAAATTGAATCAAAATTTTGTTCCATCACGTCCTGGGCCCAAATTGGGGAATTTAAAAAGGACATGTAGCTACTCAATTCTTACGAGCTTAGTGGGAATATCTTTTATGACATAAAGGAAATATAAGAAGCGATGTAATCTATATGGGAAAAGCAACGTACATCGTCGAAGTGCAGATAGCGAGAATAATTCTTGAGTCAAGCAAGCATAAGGATGGTGTGGTCATAGGAATGAGCTTCGAGAAAATTTCGAGGTCGAAATTTATTTAAGGGGGAGGGAAATGTTACATCCCAGTCAAATTAATCCCAGTCGAATACAAGTGTTTGTACCTCATTACCTATCCAATGATTCTAATTTCGGGGACGAAATTTTTATAAGGGTGGAGGAAATGTTACACCCCGACATTTGGGTCCAGGTTCGACCGAACAGTTGGATCGACGATTACGTACGAATGATGGCAACTGCAATAATAATAACATTAATAGTTATTATTATTATTAGTATATAAAAAAAAAAAGAGTTATCCCACGCCAGTTTTCGCTTTATGGTAATCAACCACCAACACCAATATCCCACTCCAAATTATACTCAGATACAACTCACCCCCAACAAGCTTTGTACGCTCCCATTCCCTTATCACATCATACTTTAATTAATGGAGACAGCTAGCTAGAGATAATAGTGTCGGTGCTTGGATGGCTTAAATTATACATCCACTTTCTCATTTCTTCCCTTCACTACTGATTCCCAACAACACCAGAACCTTGCATCCATTATCATCAACTTCTTTCCTCCTCCCAATCGTTCCCTTCAGCAAAGCCTTCCGCCATCATCGTCATCATTAAAGAAGCCGCTCCATCTATCACCAAGAGTGATTATTGACACCGCCAGCAACAGGAGGAGGAGGCTAACGAAAGCTCTAACACTCGTCCCATGCGTCATCTTCCCCGCGCCGTCGCCTCTCCGTCCACTACGTTGGACTTGACGTCAATGAAGAAGAAAAAAAATGAGAGAATAGAAAGAGAGGGAAATGAATGATTCTGGGCATTGGTTTTTGCTCGGAAGAAGATGAGGAACCATTATACGGAGTCGGAATCCAAGTTGGAGGTCGTTAGAGGCCTCGTCGGAGCTTCGCCGGAACGTCGCCGGAGTGTCGCCGGATTCTGGAAAAATAAACTTCGACGAAACTTCAAAAGATGAATATGGTTGCGTAGAGGGCGATCTCAGGAGCGTCACGGTGTCGACGAAATCGAATTCGGACGTCGGATGAGGGAGAACCGAGTCTCCCAAGTTTGAGGAGGAATATGTCAACCATCAGGTACCATTTTTGAAAATTCGAAAAAGTTAGGGGATTAAATCTGTAATTTTCCAGAGGTCGGGTCAACTGTGTTGACTGGAAAATTTCAGTTTCGGTACTTGATACTTCTAAACTGACAGAATATTTATTTTGGCCATAACTCGATCAATTGACGTCCGATCAAGGAATCGTCTGCGCCTATGGAATCGTGGGGAGGAATAGAATTTAATGGAAGCGATACATGGAATTTTTAGAGTGGAATCAGAGTTGGTTTCAACAGAAATGAGGTGAGTGGTTTAAGGGGGTAAATTCTACGCCTTACGTGTTTTCAAGTAATTGCCTTACGAGTTTTTAAAGTATGTGTGTTTACGTGAATTGTATGCCAGTGATTGAATTATGTCGTGATTGATAAAGCATGATCTGTTTGAGATATTATCCGAGATGATTATTTGAGCTTTCTGTATTTACTTGAAGCTTTTATATTTATGTTTATTTGATGAAGGTTGTTTGATCTTTAAGGATCAATATTTAAGAGGTATTTCACTCCTAATTAAATTAGGGTGAAAAGATTTAAAGATAGTTCACTAACGACAGTCCCCCGCCCCAGTGAAAGTTTAAAGGAAGAGCAAGTTTGCTCTTAAGGAACATGTGGATGAATCACTTAGACATCACATGAAGTTTAAAGGAAGAGTATGATATACTCTTAAGGTTTATGGGGTTGAATCGATTACTCCCATAAAAAGGTTTAAGGAAAGGCCTATGTTGGCCCTCATACGTATGAGCTGGGCGGTTGGACTAGTTAGTGAGGGGATCCCAGTGTCAGTCAAAGGTTTAAGATTTTGAGGGTGGCGAGTAATAACAACTCCCACATTTCTTTTTAAAGGGTTAAAGTATTAAAGGGTGGAAGTATATATAACTTCCACAAGTTTTGAGGTGAACACTTAAGGGAACACCCGTAAGTGCTTCGAGTTTAAGTAATGGCGTAGACTGACCCCAACCCACTCACCAGGTCATAGAGAAGGAGCTAGAGGAGCAGTTAATGAGCAACGAGTTCGAGGGCAGCCAGCTAGAGGATGGCAGTATAAGCGTCACGGAGGATGCTTAGTCAAGGTTTTTCAGCAACAACAACTTTAGAGATTATTAGATATTTACATTTATGATTATGAGTATAGACTGGAGATCATTTTGAGATTTCAAGTATTGAGTTTGCCCATGTGTTAGGGCGTTGCTTTGAATTACAAGTGTGTGTTTCCATAATTTTATTTATGAAAATTTTTCCCACTGCAATTTAATATTCGAGTATTTTATTTATCAAGGGCATTTTAGTAAAAGTAGTACCCGGCCGGGTTAGGGTGTTACACTTTATATGTATTGATTTGTGATGCAAAAAACATTACAAACATGGTTGACAAAAATGACAAACATGTGGACAAAAATAACAAACATTACAAACAAATACAAAAGAAACCAACAAACATTACAAACATTACAAAATAACAAACATTACAAACATTGCAAACAAACATTACAAACAAACATTACAAACAGTACAAAGCATACTACACGTACAGAATATCACTACTTACAATACAGATTGGTAAACTTGTATTACAAACAAATGAATACAAAGTATACAAATCATAACATAAAAGTATACAAACATTACAAACATTACAAACAAACAAATGAATACAAAGTATACAAATCATAACATAAAAGTATACAAACATTACAAAATAACAAACATGACAAACAAACATTACAAACATTACAATGTATACAAAATAGTAATATAAACATTACAAACATCACGAACTCAATACTGTTGCCGGAAAATCATCCACCACCGTCTCTGGTCGCCGGAAAACTGCTCCGCCGTCGCCGGAAAAGTTGACTCTCTCTCTCTCTCTCTCTCTCTCTCTCTCTCTCTCTCTCTCTCTCTCTCTCTCTCTCTCTCTCTCTCTCTCTCTCTCTCTCTCTCTCTCTCTCTCTCTCTCTCTCTCTCTCTCTCTCTCTCTCTGGGACGCATCAAATCCTGGGGAGCAGGACAAAAGTGGGAATGGGAATTATATTCCATCAACAGTGCATCGGCGACAAAAGTGGGAATTAAATTCCCTGGCCGGCGACGGAAAAAAAAATAGACCGACGCGGACGTCGGCGACGGGAAATAAGAAGAGATGGGGTGGGGAAGAGCCGAGCAAAAAATTATTTAATAATTTAAAATAAAAATAATCATACAATTACTGTTTTGTCCTTCATTAAATTGGATTAATTGTAGCCATTGGATTTTAATGAGGTGGAAGGGCTGAGATTCACTTAGTCATGTGACTAAGGGACCCCCCCTTAGTCACCTGATCTTGGCCCCTCATATTTCGTAGGAGAAAGAGAGTTGAGGCAATAGTTTCATACCATAAAAATGCACAAATGCATAATCAATGCTTGTGCCCCATAACCTAGGGGTGGGCATGGGGTGAGTCGGGTGGATTTTGACTATAAAATGCACCTACCCGCGCTTAAACGGATTGATAATTTTTAACTCACTACCCATCCACATTTAGTCTTGGGTTGGGTCGGGCGGATGGTGGATGATTTAGATGGGTTTGTGGTTCATCCACATCACAATGTATATAATATAAAGGAGTCAACTTGACATGATAATAGGCGAATAGAGTTATCTGGGAAAACAAGAAGATGAAATAAGGCGAAAAATGTTGAATTAGTTCTTAAAATGGATAGAAATTCTATTATGAAAGAGTTTTCTACAGATTGAGATGATTATCAGGTGCAAGGAACTAAGAAAAATAATTCCACAAAAGAAAGAGCAGTGATCTAGGCACAAGAATTAAAAGAAAAAATAAAGGCAAGAAGAGGGGATCGCTATTTGGAAGGTTGGCTTTGAGGTTCAAACTCCAGGAGTAGTCCTAGTTTATGTCTAACGTCTCCACTCTCCCCTCTCTAGCACCGACGACTTTGATCTTTTTGCTGTAAGGTTGAGCGGGTCACCCGCACACCCACCCACCACCTGGCGGATGGCTCCCAGCGCAACCCGTCACCCAACCATAGACCCACCCACTTAACAAAATTCGGGTCAAATACGGGTGGGTCGGCCCAAACTCGCGGATGATCCCCGCATGTCCAGCCCTACCATAACCTAGCCGATCAATACTTGGCAAAGGCTAGCGTACGTCCGGGCGTACGCTAGCCTACCGTACGCCCCATTGAGTTTTGCTATTTAGACAAAGAATTAATTGGAGTTTAGGACATGATACTATACCCTAACCCCTAATGGGTGAATCCCAGTCCCCAATTCACTAACCCAAAGCATGAGGTTCGTTTAATCTTAAAAATGAAAATCAACGATCCTGATTCGTCGAAATTTTTATTGATTTTCATTTTAAGATTAAATGAATCTCATGGTTTGGGTTAGAAAACTAGGGACTGGGGTTTACCCATTAGAGGTTAGGGTATAGTATCATGCCCCAAACTTCGATTAATTCATGATCTATATAGCAAAACTTAATGGGGCGTACGCTAACCTAGCGTACGTCCGGGCGTACACTAGCCTGAACCCATATATATATATATTAGAAAGACAGACATCAATAACGTCTTAGACCGCATTAGAGTCTAGAGATTAAACGTTCTTGGGATAACCAATATTTCTTTGTGTTGTCAATGAAGATGAGATCACTTTGGAATGTGATTTAGTTGCCGTAGCCTGTGGTGCGTACTGCTTGTATACGGCCAAGTTTTGTCGGGGAGGGTAGTGGATACAGGGTTTCTAATTTATTGGATTTGATTAGAGGGTTGGTCGAGTTTTTGTATTTTCTCGGGATGAGATTAGATGCTAACCCCTATACAACCACATTGATTTTAGTATTTTTTTTCTTTGACAATGTTAATTTCATTAAGAGCAAATGGGCCAAGCCCAGAGGAAAAGTTTACAGACAATTAAACAACAACAGGCTAAAAGACTAAAAAACATAGGCCCAAACGAAAGTCCAGAGACTCAATAGAGCCCAGACCATGAGCCAAAACCAGAGCTTCAGCCTTCTAACCCTAGCCGTTCAATGCCCTCCTCTGAAACCTCCGCCGCCGTCGCTGGAAAAGGACCGACGCCGCCACCAGCCACCGGAGTGGAGGGATGAGAAAGGGAGAACCTCCACACAAGCCTCCTCGAGCCAATCGTCGTCTGCATCTCGGCAACCATTTACAAGAGAATACATCAGAGCAATCGGACGGCAGATGGTGGTAACAGAGGAAAAAACTTCTGTCTTCAAGCTCTCCAGCCGTGTCCAAGCCATTGGCCGCATCTCCGAAACACAAGCACCTGCAAAGTGAAGCAAGGAGGTAGACAGAGGAAGGATGAGGAGAAAACAAGACAGATCTAAAAGATCTAGCCTCCTTTGCATCTTAGAGCACACACATCTCCAGATCTGAAGAATCAAATCGGAGGACAAAAGACCATCCCACGAAGGGGGGGAAGGAAACCCATAAGGAGGAACATGCACAGACGAAAAGAAGCGAAACCAAAAGGCTGGAACATGCGAAAGAGAAGAGAAGGAAGAGTGGAAGACTATACTACGAAAGGAAGAAAGGACAACAAAAACTGAAAAAGGGGGGCGGAGGGCTGCCGCCGGACGCCGGAGGAGCGCCGGCAGCAGCCCCCATGACTGCCTGGAGAAGAAGGAAGTAAGAGAGAAGGCAGAGAAAAAAGTTAGAGAGAGAGAGAAGGGCCGCTCTTTTGAATCTGGGATCAACATTGATTTTAGTAACGGGCGCTTTAGATGTACGTGATTCGGGTTATCATCATACTAATTAATTTAATAGCCTTTGGATCAAAATAATAATCTTGGGTTAGAATTAATCAAAGAATAATTTATTAGATATCCCTCAAGCCCTAATATAATACTAGCCTTTTTTATCACACCCTACCCTACACACGCCACTCATAATTTCTCTCCCACGTCTCTCTTCCACTCTTCCTCCTTTCCCTCTACCTCTTCTCTCTCTCACACGATTTCCTCAAGGTGAAGCTAAGAAGACGGTGGTCGATGGGGAAGATAGTAGACGCGGAGGAGAAACGAAGAACACGGTCGATGGGGAAGATAGTAGACGGCGGAGGAGAAACGAAGAATAAGACGTTTGCGGAGGCAGTTGCAGTCGACGATGGAGGAGAATCGAAGAAGTCGATGATTGTAGAGGTGCTCGCTCGAGAGGAGAAGCCGAAGAAGCCCATATTGTAGAGGCAGAGGTCGTAGAAGGAGATTTGGATCGCAGAGGTCGTGCTCGCTCACCCTATTTTCTCTTCTTTTATTGGATATGGAAAACTTAGGGGTCGTTTGCTTCAAGGATTTGCATCATGAATTTGGTACCAAGAAACCAACCATCATGGATTTACCCACAATCTGTTGTTTCTTTGTCAAAAAATGTTTAGATAAATCTGCGAGCCCCGCGAATTTGGGTTTTTTTTTTCTCCAAATCCATGGGCCCCACGATTTTATAAATCCCACCTCATATCCTGGGATTTGGAGACAAGCTGAAAACCCATCAAATCCATGATAAAAAGAGCTCAACAAACAAAGGATTTCCTCAATTCCATAATGCCCAAAATCCCTAATAAATTCCAAGGTTTTTAATTAGCAAATCCATGACAAAAAACCTCATTATAAAATTCTTGAAGCAAACGAACCCTTAAGAAACTGTTTAAGTTTGAGGTTGAAAGACATGATCCAATAATCAATGTTTCTGTTAATTGTTAACAACCAATTATCTCTAATTAATTTTAATTGAACATTAAATGTTCTGAACTAAATCTATTAACGGCGTTAAATATTTTGATTCATTGAAAGGTAAAGTGAGCTTATTGATTTTGTGTTGTACAGTAACAATTTCATTAACCAAACTGAACCAATTTAAAACTCCCACTCGAGGGTGAAGTGTCACATCTAGGGGCGGCCAACAATCCGATTCACACTAGACAGAGTCGGATCTAATCGATATTTGGATCGAATTGGATTGGATTGAGTATATTTCGATTTGATTTTGGTCCTATGAATTTTTTAAGTATGAAATAATGGAGCTAAAGTGAATTTGGACCAAAAATATCACGTACACCTTTCACGCTGCTTATTGTCTGAAATGTTAATTTGGCCCAACAAGGGAAATGAATGATCAACTTTTAGCTTACTTATTTATATTGAACATATCATAATAGATTTATTTTTTTATAAACCGGAGCACTAAGGCCGCCTCACCTTTATGTATTAAATAAACGAGGGGTTTGAACCCCAATGAGATCAAAATACAGCCAATAGTTCAACATCAGATCAGGCTTATCAAAAGTATTAGTTCCCAGCGATAGACCATGGCCTAAGGATGCTAGCTAGTCAGCAACAATGTTCCCCTTGTTGAAAATATGACAAACTTCGATCTCCCATTCTAGCGCCAGTAGCTTTCGGGTTTCGGAAATCAGCAATGAGTGAGCGCGATGATCCCCTGCCGGCATGATGAGTTTCAGTGTCGTCTGTAAATATGTTTGGAACACTAATTTTCGTGTGCCAATCTCCCATGCAGTTTGGAGACCATGGACTATCCCCTCAAGTTCTGCCCTCGTAATCGATCCTTCCCCGAGGTTTGTTGCGAAAGCTCGGATCATGCGTCCATCATCTCTTCTAATAACTCCTCCCGCGACTGCGTTCCCCACCGCATAAGATCCATCCGTGTTCAAACACGTCTAGTCCTGTGGTGGAGGTGTTTCTCGCGAAACCAAATATCCACCGTTGGTGTCAAAATCGTTTCAGGCGATGTTGATTTGATTGTTTCGCTGTGGAAACTTTTGCAGAAACGTCAAATATCCACCGCCAAGCGGTGTTGATTTGATCAATGCACCACTGACTTCTTAACTAAGACGACCGTCAAATATCCACCGCCGGGCGATGTTGATTTGATCGATGCACCTCATACTTCTAACCAAGAACGACTCTTACTCGGTTCACACCTCTCCAAACAATGTTAGAATGAGAGTGTTTGAGTTTTTGGGTATGTACGTTAAAACTACTCTTACTCGGTTCACACCTCTCCAAACAATGTTCGAATGAGAGTGTTTGAGTTTTTGGGGTATGTACGTTAAAACTACTCGTATGGAGATTCCTGTGGAGAGCTCTGTGACTATGCTACAACTATTGAGATCCTTCCTGGACGAAAAGCTTCGCGAAGGAGTTACAGAGAAAAAGATAAATTGAAACATATGTGTTTATGTGTTGATTTCTGGCTATCCTTTCTCTCTCCTTGCTCCGCTGCTTTTATTCGAAAAACATCTTCGTAGTCTTTATGCTTCGTGAAACCTCTTCCTCAACTGCTCTGTCGTGAACTCGCACGTTTCTCAACTGCCTTGATCTCCTCTTTGCTATGGTTGGCATGAATCTCCCGCGAAGAAACCACTTTCGCTGCAACGTTGTAAACTTCAACGACACTGCACCTCCAATCTTCACTTCTATCCACGTGAGACACAC